AAAATTCCTATGAACAGAGTAGTGGATTCTATGATACGTATTTTTGTTTTTGTTATTAATTACTATCTCTAAGTAGTTGTACAAAGGAGTTACTATTTAACAAGATATATATCTTGATCAATGTCACCCCTTTCAACATTCTTACTCATCCCTTCCCTACCCACCCTTCTCTTCCTCTTTTAAATTTTGTAGGATAAACATTGGACTCTTTTTTTCTTCTACTTTTTTTTTTTTGGTTGGTCGTGGGCTGTGAATCTAGGCCTGGGCACGGTCCCTGAGCATTTCAGCTCAAGGCGAATGTTCTATCACTTGCCACAGCACCATTTCTGGTTTTCTGGTGGTTAATTGGAGGTAAGAGTCTCACAGACTTTCCTGTCCAGGCTGGCTTTGAACTGCCATCCTCAGATCTCAGCCTGCTGAGTAGCTAGGATTACAGGTGTGAGCCAGTAGTACCCAGCTTACATTGGATTCTTATCTTCAGTTTCCCCCTTTTCCTAGGCATTGGTCCACTCTCCCCCTTCCCCTTAAACTAACAGCACCATTACTTTCTTGTGTTTTATTTTGCTAAACGTTTTTTTTTTTTTTGCCAGTCCTGGGGCTTGAACTCAGGATCTTGACACTGTCCCTGAGCATTTTTTCCTTAAGTTTGGAGCTCTACCACTTGATCCACCGCTCCACATCCAGATTTCTGGTGGTTAATTGAAGAACCTCATACACTTTTCTGCTCAGACAGACAGGCTTCAAACCATGATCCTCAAATTTCAGCCTCCTGAGTAGCTAGTATTACAGTTGTGAGCCACCAGTGCCCAGCAATGTGCTACATATTATCTGGTTGCCCTGTGCTTTACTTTTATTTATTTATGTTTTTGTGGGCCCTGGGGTTTGAACTCAGGGACTAGGCACTGTCCCTGAGCCTCTTTGTGCTCAAGGCTAGCACTCTACCACTTGAGCCATAGTGCCATATTCAGCTTTTTCTGAGTAGTTTTTGGAGATAAGAGTCTCACAGACTTTTCTGCCCGGATTGGCATTGAACCACAATCCTCAGATCTCAGTCTCCTAATTAGCTAGGGTTACAGGTATGAGCCACCAGTGCTCAGCCTGTGCTTTACTTTTATTATCACTATGAACGAATACTGGACAGAAACAACTTAAGGGAGGAAAGATTTATTTTGTTCGTGGTGGAAAGAGTATGGTAAAACAGCTTATATTGCACTGGACTGCAAGTAGAACAGTGCTGCTTACAGGAAGAGGACGGGGAAAGACAGAGACCAGTGACAGGATCCCTGTGTCCCACTTCCTCTAACCAGGCTCCCCTGTCCCCAGTCCTGTCACCTAATAATTAATTCAGATTTGGGGTCTATCAATGGATTAAATCATTCATGAAAATCAAAACTCTCATGATTTCATTGTCTCTGGGAATATTCTCACCGACACACCTAGGGGTGTGCTTTACTAACCTTCAAGGCTTTTCTCAATCCAATTAAGTTGACAATTGATATTAACCATCACATCCTGAAGTCTTGTACTAATATTATGATGAATGTCTTTTCTATTCATACATTTGTTCAGAGTGTTTTTTTCTTTTTCCATGTCTCTGCCAGATAGGATAGAAGAATAGTATCTCATTATTTCACTTTTAATGAATAATGAATAATTTTCACACATGCTTCTTGCCCTTTGAACTACCTTTTCATGCAATTTACCTGTTCCTGTTCCTTGACAATTTCTGTCTTAAAAATATTTTATTTTTGCCAGGTGCTGGTGGCTCACGCCTGTAATCTTAGCTACTCAGGAGGCTGAGATCTGAGGATTGCGGTTCAAAGCCAGCCTGGGCAGGAAAGTCCGTGAGACTCTTATCTCCAATAAACCACTCGAAAACCGGAAATGGTGCTGTGGTTCAAGTGGTAGAGCACTCACCTTGAGCTGAAGAGCGCAGGGACAGCACCCAGGCCCAGAGTTCAAGCCCCACAACCGACCAAAAAAAATTTTTTTTTTTATTTTTGAGGGCTGGGAAGGTGACTTAGTGGTAGAGTTCTTGCTTTTCATACATGAGGCTCTGGGTTCGATTCCTCGGCATCACATAAGCAGAAAAAGCTGGAAGTGGCGCTGTGGCTCAAGTGGTAGAGCACTAACTTCGAGCTGAAGAGGTGAGGGACAGTGCCCAGGTCTGGAGTTCAGGTCCCATGACCACCAAAAAAATTTTTTTTAAATTAGCCTATATTTATAATATGATGAGGTTTTACTGTAACAAGTTCATAGATATGTATAGTGTACTCTGAATGAAGGCAGTTTTTCTGTTGGAGTTTTAACCTTTTAATCTGTTGGAATTTTTAGAATTTTTATTCGATAAGTTCTGGATTTGTGATCATATAATGAAATTTTTCTAAGGGTGTTACAGGTAAAAATTAAATTTGTGCCACACATGGTGGTTGAGATAGGAGGATCATGGATTTGAGCACCAGCCTGGACTAGATAGTAAATTCAAGGTTTCCTCAAACCTGTGGCTGTGTAGACATAGACATTTATATAGAGAAACCCTGTCTTAAAGATATAACGAAACCAAAAGCCAACATAAACAACCAATTTTAAGAAAAAAACTGGGAAAATAACAATTTTGCCTTCTCATATATCATTACTATATGTGATATCAGGTATAGAAGTTTCACAGATGACTGAGAAGATAAGTTTGAAATATAGTCTGTTGAACCACATGTTAATAATGTATTATAGATGGGTCTGGAATGTTGGCTCAGTGGTAAAGTGCTTGCCTGGCATGCATGAGGCCCTGGGTTCGATTCCTCAGCACCACATAAGCAGAAAAAAGCTGGAAATGGCGCTGTGGCTCTAGTGGTAGAGCGCTAGCATTGAGCTGAAGAGCTGAGGGACAGCGCCCAGGCCCAGAGTTCAGACCCCATGACCAGACCCTCCCCCCCCCAAAAAAAAATGTATTATAGAAAGAGCACTGCTGGGCACCAGTAGCTCATATCTGTAATCCTAGCTACTTAGGAGGCTGCAATCTGAGGATTTGTGGTTCAAAGCCAGCACAGGCAGAAAAGTCACAATGAGACACTTACCTCCAATAAACCACTAAAAAAAGCCAGAAGTAGAGCTGTGGCTCAAACGGCAGAATGCTAGTCTTAAGCACAAAGAGGCTCAGGGACAGTGCCAAGGCCTTGAATTCAAGCCCCAAGGACCAGCAAAATAAATGAGTGAGTGAGTGAATGAATGAATGAATAAAATAAAATAAAATAAAAAGAGCACTAAGGTTAAAAAAATTGCTACCAAGTTATTTATGGCTTATTTACCAAATATTTTTGGTAAACGTTATCTATCTGAGTTATTTTTTAGAATTCAGTTCTTCCTTTATATTGGATAACATGCCTCACTTAAGGCAAGATTGATTTCTAAAAGCAAGCAGATATGTTGTGTGGCTGGTGTTGCTGTGTGTGTGCATGATATGCTATGGATCAAACCCAGAGCTCTGCACGTGCTAGACAAGTGCTGTACCCCAGACCCACTCTCTCCTTTCTATGTATCTTAAAAGGTAAATCATTTCTCCAAAGATTGTGCTTATGCACGCTGTCATTGCAAGGTGTAAATGGTTCCAAATGAATTCTCCAGAATGGTATATAAACATACCTGTGGTTGTGTGGGCATAGACATTTACATTGTGTCTCTCTATAATCACTTTCTGTGATATCATTTAGTTCTTTTAATATGGCTTTCTTCAAATTTTATATAGTCTTTCTGAAAGGCAATAATATTTCTCCTACAAGAAAGTGGTAGAGTCGCTATAATTTGGAATGTGACAGTTCCATGCCCTATATAATGACTTTGTGTTTTGCTGCATTTTTAGGTCATTTGCTTTAGAACAGTTGAAGAATTAGGTGGTTGTATGTTAAATGTCTGCCACTTGATAATTATCTCAAGGCAGAATGGTTTTATTTAGTTTAAGCTTAAAAAATACAATATGTTGAATTAATTTTCAGTAAGACTTTATTAGAGTGGATGTTCAGATTGTAGTTCAATTAGTTCCCCAACTAGCGAAGAGTGATTTGTGTGTCAAAATTAAGCATATTGGCAGGTCATCCGTATAATTTTTTTATGAAGAATTGGAGTAAACTTACATTTTCACTTCAAGTTTTTTTTTAAAGTAGTGTTTCTTTCTTCTAGAAGTTATTTTATTTTATTGACTGCTAATTTATCAACCACTCGAAGCAAAGTGAGAAGAAAAAAGGCCATAGCATTATCACATTTCTATATGTGGGTTCCCTCAACCATATGGTGATTTCTAATTAGAATACAAAAGATTGTGGGATAAGGCTAACTTCATAGTAACTATGATAGTATGTACCACAGAGAGAATTTTCTGGAATTTCCAAAAGACCACTAGTGAGAGAAAGTGTGAGATCTATAATTTACCCTTTTACTTATAGAAATTTATCTTATGTAAGTCCTCAGACTCATAGAAGTCTGATAAGGTTATTGATGTGCAGATCAAGTTGGTATTTTGAAACTAGTAATTTAATTCTGGATGCTTGATCCTCTCAGTCAGTAGCTTGACTTGGGTTTTCTTTTTTTAAAAGCAGCTTCATTATTTAATTTCACGTGTACCCTCTCAGTAGAGATTTCAAAGGATACTTTGCTGGATGCTTGACTGCCTTGTCTATTTGCTCTTGTTTTGCATGCAAGAGAGAGCCAGGAGCTTTCTTCTCATTGTGTACACATAGTATTAATGGATTTACTCTGCCTGTATTGGTCTCATTACTGAAAACAGCTAGAAGCACAGAAGTCTTTCAGTGTATGCAAATAAGGCAGAATCATCTACCTGAGAGTTAATATTCTCTGCTTTTAAGTGTATTCTAAATCTAATGTTTGTATTTAGAGCATAACATCCTGTTCTCTTTTTTATGGGCAAAAAGCTAAGCAGGCTCAGGCAGCTGTTTGATGTTGGCTTCAAGTGTTATTAATTTCATATTCTATTATTCTTTTCACTGTAGCACAAGTGAAGCTGATGTGGAGGCTGTCATGGATAAGTTGTTTGATGAGCTGGCTCAGAAACAAAATGATTGTACGTAAGTTAATTTCTCTTGAAAGAGAATACATTTAGAACACAATGCCCAATCTCCACTGACCAATTAATAAGTTCCATTGCTGTATATGGGTTGATGCCACGCTCAAGTGGCAGTCATTGTATCAGCATTTTGTCTAATTTATGTGTTGAATCATGTGCTATTATTCATCAAGCTATGCATTTCCTATCTGTAAGAGATGAATTTTATAGTAATTATCCAGACAAGATTGAGTCTTTGTTCATGTTCCCATAGTAACTAGACCAAGGATTCTAAAAGTGCAAGGCAGAGAGCTGCGGCTGAATAAAGCCTGTGGAACCATTGCCGACTGCACATTTGAAGAGCTGTGTGAGAGAGTAAGTATCCAGGCACGTCCAGACTCATTGGCCTTTTCACATGTTAAAATCCTTCATGTTCTCCTCTCCGCCTGTTTCAGCTTTAAATGTTTTTCAGAGTTAGGACCAATGTAAAAATCTCATTAAGAGAAATACTCATCTATATTTGCCATACGCTTTTTATAGGTATTGGCACAAAATTTGGACTTAGAATGGCTCTACAGCAAAATTAGAAATGCAGAGAGAATTGTCAACTGTTGCTGGAAGTAAAAATAAAATCAGTTTGGGGGCTATAATGTAAATTCATATATGAGATATTAAAAAATCAAGATGAGGTTAGCATGTGAGATAAAACGAACACATAGTAATATTACCAGGATCCAAAGAAGCATGACTTAAATAATTACCATTTTCATATTCATTACCTGTCTGCTGTGCTGTAATATCTGGCCTATTTGTGTTAGGGTCAAAGAAAATGAATTTCTAAAACTCTGACATCTTATCACATAAGTAATATGTTTTACAGATAAACTATATACATGTGCAAACATTTTTATAAGTGAAGGAGACTGCATTTTCAGTATTCTAGAATTCTCAGTACTCAGTGAATATTCAGTATGCTTATTGATTATAAATATTAAGGAAAACATACAAATTAGATTTAACTTTAAACATTATTCTTTGATTAAGTATCATTCTTGATCTCTGATTTATCTTGACTTTTACATACAAAGAATTGGCTTTGCTATAAGGGAGAAGAGAAAGCTTTATTTATACCTGCCAGGCATTTTATGAATACTTTTTATAAAAGCTAGTGACTTCCAGCTTGATAAATTTGTAACTTTTAAAACAGACTCTAATTTGCAGTGTTGTGGCACTTCAGTCTGCATAGGGTTTTGGATCAATGAGGTTGGGGTTATGCCTATTTCAATCAGTGATCTCATTCAGGCTAATGTGGACCCTTCAGACTTCTACTGAACTGATCTCATTAAGTTCCTAATAACCTGCTATCTCCAGACAGAATTCTATTAAGGTTTGCATTTAGGTTTTATTCCCTTTGCCAGAGAAACACAATCGAGAATACTCCCATGTTCTCAAAGCTGAAGCTCTTCCCTTTGCAAAAGGCACCTGGTAAGGACAGGGCTGTTGAATTTTTATGGGTCTAGGTCAGGAGGCAAGGAATTTTCTTGGAGCAGACACCGATAATGTACCTGTAGTTAAACAATAGGTACATTATTTTTGAAGACTTAGGAAAAGACCATTTAAAGACTAAAATGTTCATAGTCTGTTTATTGAATGATGGAGAGGCTAGGAAGAAAGTTGATAGGGATTCAATGATAAAAATGAAAATAATAGTTATAAACTTACATAAACACTTATATAAATCACTTCTATCTTACTTGACAAAAATAGCTTGTAACAACTGAGCTGTTTTATTCAACTGTGAACTAAACTCTTAGAATAAATTTTTTATTAATAAAAATTAATAATTAAATAAAGAGGTTTTATTTTTGGCATAACTTTCTTAAAAAATCTGAGATGATAAACTATTATTTTAAGATATGAAGAGTTTTTTATTTACCATTGTGTGTAGTATTATGATTCACTACTCCTGTATGTAGCAAAGTGATATGAATTAATATAGAACACAACAAGGGTACAATTATTGTAAAAAGGAATTCATGATGTTGAGTAAATCAGATGATAAAATACATCTAGATGATAAGTTGTTATATTTAGTGGTTCAGTTACACAGGAAATAATTTTAATGGAAACATTTAAGGATATTATACTTTTTCTTCATATCTTCTTAATTCATGAAATTTTCAACTGTTTTGTTTTAAAATATTTTGTAGTGCCATTGTGCCTGATGATTTTTTTTCTTCCCTAAATTAGATATATCCTCATATGCCAGTGACTTTGCAAAGACAAATTTGCTCTTTCCACTACATCAGACAAGCTCTGAATGATCAACAAAAGATACTGGCATGTGGGATAGGGTTAGTTCCTAGTATTAAGCCATAAGAGATATGCAAAGAAAGGCTATATTTTTAAGTGGTCAATTCATTTCTCACTGTTTCTTATAATGATGATTTTGCATTTCTTTGCAGCCTTACAATTGTGGCAATTCAGATATTGAATACTTGTATGAAGGGGCTCCTTAAATTGATTCAACTTCAGACACAGCCTAAAATTTAATTAATTATAGTGATCTTATTAGCCAGGCTATATAGTTGTAAAAAACAACCCCCCCAAAACACACACACACACACACACACACACACACACACACACACACGTTGAGTAAAGAAAAAAATATCCAAGCCCAGTAAAGAAAGAATCATCCTGTGTGACTGGCAAGGTGTCAGCTTTGGACTGTGTAAACTAGTTTTCTGGGAAGCTCAATACTCACCATACCACCATTATGACATCATTAGGAAAACTTCCTACAGCAAGGTCCGAATGCATTGACAGTCTGTAATGATCGTTTTTGAGCCATGGTCCCTTTCTTAGGGCAAATAATTTATTTGTAGATTTTTAAACATACTGAGTAGACCTCTGTACATTAGTGTCATTTTTACTGTTTTTTTTTTTTTTGTGTGTGTGTGTGTGCCGCTAGAGATTGAATTTAAGGTCTTCACACAAATATCCTGTCACTTGATTTATGCTTCCAGCCCTTTTCTATTTGTCTTGATGGTGCTAGGGTTTGAATTTAGCCTCTCACAGACAGGCATCTGTCACTTGAGTCATGCTATATTATTATCTTGATAAAGTGAAAGATTGATTCAACTAAAAAAATAGTGACATATGCCACGAGTAAAATGAAAAAGACACTATGTATCCTGCTTTTTATATACCTGTCCCTGGTCCAGAGAGATCTGCATTTAACTTCTTGATATCTCCAGGATTCTTTCTGTTATTCTACACTATGATGTTCAAAGAAGCAGCCCCAAGTAGCCCCTATTGTCTCCTTGGCAAAACAATTCCTGTGACATTGCTGCTTTGTGTATGCTCATTTTCTACCTAAGCTGACTTCTGATGATGCTATGTCCAAATAAGTGAGCCAGTCAGTCTGGCTAAAGCATGATAGTAGAAAAGCATGATAAAGCAACTGCATGATAATAATAGCTAACAGCCATGAACCAAGCTAAGCACTTTTCGTAAATTAGCTTATCTAATACTTAGCATAGGTAGGCATTATTATTCTCCCCATCTTATGGGTGGAGAAATTGAAACACTGAGGTCTAAAGGTTACTTTCCCAAAGTCACACAGCTAGTAAGTGGCAGAATCAATGGTAGTTTGGCAGCTGGATACCATGCTCTTTATCACTACATTGTTTCTGAAAATGTTCTGGACAAGCTCTGCCTCAAATCATTTATATGATTATAATTCTTCCACTAAGTATACTCTGCTCGCCTGAAGACTATATGTGGTCTGTCTCCAGGCCAGGGCCTGATATTAGGTATTTAATCTTTTTCTTTTTTTTTGTACCAGACTGGGGCTTGAACTCAGGGCCAGTCACTTGTCTCTGAGCTTTTTTGCTCAGGTCTAGTATTCTACTACTTGAGCCACAGTTCCACTTGAGGTTTTTTTCATGGTTAATTGGAAATAAGAGTCTCAGGAACTTTCCTCTCTAGGCTGGGTTGTTTGTTTGTTTGTTTTGCCTTTGTTTTTTTGTTGGTTGTGGGGCTTGAACTCTGGGCCTGGATGCTGTCCCTCAGCTCTTCAGCTCAAGGCTAGCACTGCGCCACAGTGCCACTTCTGGTTTTCTGAATGGTCTATTGGAGATAGGAGTCTCACAGACTTTCCTGTTCCAGCTGGCTTTGAACTTCGATCCTCAGATCTCAGCCTCCTGAGTAGCTAGGATTACAGGTGTGAGCCACCAGCACCCAGCTGCCTAGGCTGTTTTTGAATGGAGTTCCTCAGAGTTCAGCCTCCTGAGTAGATAGGATTACAGAACATGATTTGAAAAAAGGTAGGGAAGTGTTCCCTTCTTATGAGAGAGTAAAAAGAGAATAAATTGTCTTTCTTCTTCCCTTTTAGAGGTTGAGTAAAGAAAAATGAAGCAGTTCAGCCACATGAACATGGCATGATCTTTCTAGTTTCCTTTCTTGACAGTTTGCCTTGACTTAATTGGAGCATATGGAAAAGTCACAATCATAGTTACTAACATCACTTACATACCTCTTAGACCTCTAGTGGTCCATGAGAGCCTTTCAGGGGTTCTTGAAATCCAAACACATTATGTAAATGCTAGAATACATTTTTTTTCTCATTGGGGTGATAGTTACAGTAGTACAAAAGCAATGTGTTGAATCAAGACAGTGGCACCAAATCAGAGGTCTTGCCACATATCTATAATAAAAACAAATGACAAACAAAAGCTAGTTCCCTTTAAGTATATATCCTTCAAGAAGGAGTAAAAGTGATTAATTTTGTTGTCTTAACCTTGAAAACATGTCTTTTCAATATTTTTTCTGATGAAATGGGAAGTATTCATCATGATACTCTTTTACTGAATAAGAAGTATGTTAGATGTCTTGAAGAAAAGCCCTTGGGAAGTCGTTAGAGGTGCAAGATGAACTCGCCACTTTAGTTCAAGAAAATCATCTTTTTGGGCTGAGAAGGTGGCTCAGTGGTAGAGTGCTTGTCTTGCATGCATGAGGTCCTGGCTTCAATTCCTCAGCACCACATAAGTAGAAAAAGCTGGAAGTGGTGCTGTAGCTCAAGTGGTAAAGAGCTAGCCTTGAGCTGAAGAGCTAAGGGACAGCGCCCAGACCCAGAGTTTAGGCCCCACAACCGACAAAAAAAAAAAAAAGAAGAAAATCATCTTTTCCTTAAAGACTGAGTGACAGACAAACTACTGTTACTCAGACTTGGCAGATATTTTCTCACAACGTTTGACAGACACTCACTTCAAAAGTCATTTCGCTCTTTCCCATCTTACAAGATGGCGGGTGAAAAGGCTGAGAAGCTGGACACAAAGGAGAAGAAACCTGAAGCCAAGAAGGCTGATGCT